TTGACGGGACACGAAACGGGGCTCCCCAAGCTGACCGCAGGCCATCTCCGGGCCACAACGTCACTCGAGGCAAGCAGCTGGAAAGGGAAAGACAAAGGCAAGCCAGCAGAAACCCTTTGACAAAGGATCAAATCGAGTTCTCTGAGCACTGAACCTAATATCTACAAGCCCCCTCTTGCAGGAAGACCAACAAAAACACTGCAATCTCATAAGATTACACCCCAGCTGTCCGATTGGCAGTCGAAGGACGTGGATGGGGCAAAGTGCTCCATGGGCCACGTCCAATTTTGCCAAAGCCACCTCCAAACTGCTGCCGAAGAAGCTCCTAAACATCCGACCGCCCTCGCCAGTGCCCACCGAGGCAGCAGCCGCTGTCCCAAGGCCCAGCCGAAGATAAACCTCGAATCAACCAACTCGATGCTGGCAAAGAATCCCTTGCTCTGGTAAGACACACAGAACCGTAAACAAGCATCCCCCACAGCTCTTGATCACTTCCAAAATGACGCGAAAGGGAACTTGGCACAACTGTTATAAGATATGTTTTCATTCTCAATGCATGTTAGTTTTGCAACCCCTTGAATGAGCCGCCTTCAACTGACAGCGGAATTTGCGGCTTGGAACCCCATTGACCAGTGGTTTGGTGAGTGGCCTGTGCCACTTCGATAGCAAATATTCACAGCTGGGCTTTCCGGGACCTTTCAGAGCGTAAGCTTTCCCACTAGTGAACCAGCAAGTTGCCGACCAAACTGACGCCTTTTCGGGATAGGCACAAACCGTGGCCCCGGCTCGAGCGCCGAGAGCTCGGCACCCGGCAGCCTGGCAGATCCGGTCGGAACGGTGGCTGGGAGGGCACCTTCTTGAGGCCAATGCGTCCAACTGCCCAAAGAAAAAGAGAGAAAGAGAGAAAGAGAAAGAGAAAGAGAAAGAGAAAGAGAAAGAGAAAGAGAAAGAGAAAGAGAAAGAGAGAGAGAAAGAGAAAGAGAGAGAGAAAGAGAAAGAGAAATGCAAAGAGATAGAAAGAGAAAGAGAAAGAGAGAGAGAGAGAGAAAGAGAAAGAGAAAGAGAAAGAGAAAGAGAAAGAGAAAGAGAAAGAGAAAGAAAAAGAGAAAGAGAGAGAGAGAGAGAAAGCGAAAGCGAAAGAGAAAGAGAAAGAGAAAGAGAAAGAGAAAGAGAAAGAGAAAGAGAAAGAGAAAGAGAAAGAGAAAGAGAAAGAGAAAGAGAGAGAGAGAGAAAAAAGAGAAAGAGAAAAAGAGAGAGAGAAAGAGAGAGAGAGAGAAAGAGATAGAAAGAGAAAGAGAAAGAGAAAGAGAAAGAGAAAGAGAAAGAGAAAGAGAAAGAGAAAGAGAAAGAGAAAGAGAGAGAGAGAGAGAGACAGAAAGAGAAAGAGAGAGAGAGAGAGACAGACAGAAAGAGAAAGAGAGAGAGAAAGAGAGAGAGAGAGAGAAAGAGATAGAAAGAGAAAGAGAGAGAGAAAGAGAAAGAGAAAGAGAGAGAGAAAGAGAGAGAGAAAGACAGAGAAAGAGAAAGAGAGAGAGAAAGAGAAAGAGACAGAGAAAGAGAAAGAGAAAGAGAAAGAGAAAGAGAGAGAGAAAGAGAAAGAGAAAGAGAAAGAGAGAGAGAGAGAATGAGAATGAGAAAGAGAAAGAGAAACAGAAAGAGACAGAGAAAGAGAAAGAGATAAGAGAAAGAGAAAGAGAAAGAGAAAGAGAAAGAGAAAGAGAAAGAGAAAGAGAAAGAGAAAGAGAAAGAGAAAGAGAAAGAGAAAGAGAAAGAGAAAGAGAAAGAGAAAGAGAAAGAGAAAGAGAAAGAGAAAGAGAAAGAGAAAGAGAAAGAGAAAGAGAAAGAGAAAGAGAAAGAGAAAGAGAAAGAGAAAGAGAAAGAGAAAGAGAAAGAGAAAGAGAAAGAGAAAGAGAAAGAGAAAGAGAAAGAGAAAGAGAAAGAGAAAGGGAAAGGGAAAGAGAAAGACAGAGAGAGAAAGAAAAAGAGAAAGAGAAAAAGAAAGAGAAAGAGAAAGAGACAAAGGGCACCCAGAAACAGACGAGTCGACCCATTGCGAGGACCTGACAGCCCCCCAAGCCCACACCAACCGGAGAAACGAGAAAAATCGTGCCGGTCGCGGCAGCTTGCGCAGGGCTTCCTCTGCTGAAGGGTGCTGACCCACCTGAGCCGGAATATACCGAACGGCTTCCCCAAGAGCTTGGGGAGGTGGCCCGGGTCAGGCTTTCAAGGACTTGGCCTTCGGGCCCACTGAAGACAAACCATATTGGCTGCGCACCCCTTCACTCTTCACAAGAGGCCTCAAAGCTGGGGTAGGGAGTGGCTCCCGAAAGAACCTGATCCAAAAAAGCAAACCCTCAATGGATCGTGTGACAGATTCATGAAGGCTCTAAATAACTTTTGCACATTCTGAGTTCACCGATGGCTTTTGCCAAACGGTCCAATCATTCATTGCCATTTGGGCGCGTCATTAAGGAAAGCAAGGCAACCTTTTAGCTGGTGGTTGTCTTGGAGGGAAACAAAACAAAACACATTTTGGGGCCATGCCCCCCCCCATTTTGGGAAAGCGCTATTTGGCGAGTCCAAACAAGTTGGGCTTTTCCTGTTGGCTACGCTTTGATCGGCGACCCTGGCTTTACTTTGGCTGATTCCTAGTCGGAGGCTGGTCGAGGGGACATGTCGCAGGGTACGAGGCCCTGGGTTCAGATCGCGCGTAGTGGCGCGGTTGGAATGGAGCAGGCAGTTTCTTGCCCAGCAAAGAGTGTTCAGAGGCAGAGGGCTCCATCTGGGCTGCGCACCAGGCGCTCAAAGGCATCGGTGCCAGCCGGGTCGCGGAAGGCCAAGGACGCCTCGGAAACTGGCCGCGGACGGGTCAAAGCATCCAACAACTGGCAGGGGTTACTGCGCAGCACACCCATCTTACAAAAACCCGCTTCAACAGGCCCTGACCGTGCAACGGCTGGCACAGGCCCCCGGCACTGATCAGTGGCAGCCAAGCCTCCGGCCCACCTGAGAACACCCGCGGGTGCGGCAAAAAAGGCTTGAACACGGAAAGGACCTGAAGCAGATCCTTCACACGGGGATTCAAAGTGCAAGAGGCGGCTTAAGATTTCTGAAACTGCAAGCGGCTCCAACGGCTGTTGATGCCGCCCCAGCCGGTCACGTCACATCGCTTGCAGGCTCCGACTGAGCGCCAGGCGGACGGAAGCCAGGGCGGACTCATAGAGCGCCTTAGAACTGACGGCTGTCTGGAGCCAAGCGCTCCCCTTTGAACCAATCTTCGATTCGCCGGGGCTACCGTCCGAATGGGCACTGGGGCAAAAACCCGCTAGGAACCACTAAAGTTGTGCAGTAATCTTCTTTCCTTGCTGCTGTTATGCAAAGCAGGGCCAGTGGCCAAGAAGAACTCACCACTGCGGCGGGTTCGAAGTGCCAATGATGCAACACAGCCACCACAACCAAGGCAAATGCAAACCGCGCACACACACGCACACACACACACACACGCACGCACGCACGCACGCACGCACGCACGCACGCACGCACGCACGCACGCACGCACGCACGCACGCACGCACGCACGCACGCACGCACGCACGCACGCACGCACCCACACACACACACACACATGCAAATACTGGCAATCTGCAGAAAGCAATGGAATGACCACGCAGTCCGCACACCCAATTTTTAGGAGCCAATGATCCAGGGCTGCGGCTCGATCCTGCCACCTGCCCGCCGCGTCTTCACAAGCACGTGTGGCTGAGACGCCTTCCAACTTGCTTGTCACATCTTGACCTGTTTAAAGGCATCTGCACCGTGAAATGTCTACCGGCACTCCAAATACCCCATGCTACATCAGCCTTGCTTGAACTTGGTGTGTCATGTCAAACAATGGTCATAGCGAAGCCTTGCAGTGGTCGCCCAAGATCTCCTGCTACGGTGTTGATGCCCTCCCTCAAAAGCCTTACATGAACAGGTGGCTTCACCATCAGTTTGCAAACAAACCGAGGTTTTCCGCTAAGAGCAAAAACCGACTGAGTCAACACGCCATGCTCTCACCTTGTCGCACAGCGTAAAGCCACAGCAGCTGGCATGCCTCGCAAGAAGCGGACTTCGTAAGAGAGAAGTTCTGGCTGGCTTTTGGAGACTGTGTCGTGACCAACCCAGAAACAGACTCCAGCACTTGTTGTGAGCGCTAGTGAATGATGCCCAAACCGCTCTCAACTCAAGTAGTAGCCCACTGCAATAACTCCGAGCACCTGTGTCAAGAACAACTGCCAACAATCGTACGGCAGCAGCCAGGTTTCCCACACAGGAAGATATTCCCCTTCTTGGGCAAAGCTTCCGACTCATCCACCACTCGGCCAGCTACTTGGTTTCTCCCTACATAAAAGTGATGGCCTTTTCTGTCCTTGAACCAACCAGCAAGGGGTGCCACTGCCATTTGCGCCTGGCAGGTGTAGCAGCACTTGCATCTTTTCCCTGGCGATCACTTCGAGCGCAGACTCGGGTTGACATAGCTTACCTCTGGGCTTTTGCGCCCACCGACCATCTCTGAGGGCACTCCCTACTTGAATTCATAGCAACAAACCAATCTGTGGGCAACGTCTGTCAAACTTGAACCACGCACTCCCTGCCTGTGGTCGCCCGAGGTATCAGCCTGATGGAGGGCAATGACTGACCCCCGCAACCACCAGCCGTTCCATGTCCCGTGCTGTTCCGCACGGGATGATACGGTGAACCTGTGCTCCTTCCAAAACGGACTCCTGACCCGAAGCACATCCGCTCGCCTCTCGCCAGGCCCAGCCTCCACTGCTTGTGCGACTTCTGCGACAACATCCTGCAAGGCACCGCTCCCATCAGCTCTTGAGCCCCGGGAAGCCAGCACAGCCTTCCTTTTTCTATTCCGGTGAAGTCTCAACGGCCCCAACTCCAAACTCCAAAACCGGCAAACATCCTGAGAGTCTTAGCCAACAGGTCATAACAGGTCGCGGATCAGGTTATCCCGCGGATTCGCTCGCGCGCGCCTCGCTGGGCAAGCCGCAGGCCGCCACCTGACGGGTGTGAGCCAAAGCCATTTGTCGTAAAGCGGAAACTGCAGTGTGGGTGATATTCCCGCTCCTCACAAACACATGACACGATGACAGAGTGGTGACAACCCTTTCGGACCTGTGGCGCAAAATGAGAATGTCCTAAAAGATGTCCCTTCGTCTGACCCCCAAACGGCCTGCTGGAGATACTCAACAGCAGCCTCCAGGTTCTGGCACCTGCGCCAGCCAATTCCAATGCGCACGTGCCGCGGCACGTTGAACCGATTGGTCACTGTGTTGGTTCCCTTTGAAAACCGCCCAACCTTGCGGCCTTGCGGGTGCTTGGTTTGTCTTGACCCATCCCAGCTTCAGAAGACACACAAACCAGATCGCAGCTGTCATTGACTCTCGGCTAATCACTATTGCCCAGCACTGCGCCTTTCGGCGCAGTCTTCAGGGCAAATGTTCCTTTGTTTAATTGAATTGCGACTGCCTTGAATTGCAACATGGCCAGCGTCCAATCCTTCAGAGATCCCGTTCCACCGTACAAGTGTTCATCGGGGTATGTGTCAAAACTAGAGATCCATGGGCCCAGTTTAGAAGGGAGCCAACAGGAAGCAAGCAACTGAGACCCGAACGAGAGGAAGGCCCGCACCGCGCGACTCAGGACATCACACCTTGGATCTGGGGGGGTGCCGACTTAGACAAGGGGAACACGACAAACGCCCCGGGCAAGAATATGAGATGAGGCTGGTGTTTACAAACAACTTGATGTGACAAAGTTGGGGGCCTGCTGTAGGAACGACGCAAGTGAAACATTCATGCTTGCCTGCTGGCTGGAATTTCGCTGGCCTCCGTCAATGTTGCCTCCCTGGGCTGCTCAAGTTTCCGAAACGGCAACGACGTGCTTTGGAATCAAGCAATGGCCCCATCAAAAAAGGTCATCTGCAACACTAACACAGCCCACTCGGCACTCGGCAGCTTTCCAGTCGCACTTCCGACTCCGAGCCAGCGCATGTCGCAACCGGCGGTCCAGCCGGAGCGAGCCCAGGGTTCCGGGCGGCAGCTCTTCTTCCTGGGCGTGCAGGTGCTTCACCAGCTCGCCGGCCTGGCGGAGCAGGGCGGAGCAGGGCGGAGCTTGGGGGCTCACGGACTTGTCTTGTGTCTTGGCTTGGCTTGATTGCTTGTGTCCTTGCTTGCTTGCGCGCTTCATTGTTTGCGAATTGTGCTTGGAAGGCGACAAAGGCATCTGTGATACATTCTCCACTGCGAGAGATCCAACCCGTTTGAGGCATGCCATCCAAGGGCCCCTGCGTGCCGCGGGTCGTTCATGTTCGCAAAGGCCTCACCGCGGGCAAAGGCGGAAAAAGCGTGACCGTCCCCTATTAAATAGCTGCAGCTCATTCCGGAAGAAAAAAAGGTTGGTGCGCGAGACATGACTCAAATGTGCGGTCCCTGACATCCTCAAGTTTAGACATAGGAAACAAACCAATCAATTAAATTGGAGGGTTTGGAGTAGCCAACATGGAGCAGCCAACATGGAGCAAAAACATGGGCACACCCCTTTTCGGCTCATGGTCGAAGGAATCCACAGAACAACAGTGGGGAGTTTCTCACAATGCTGGACCCGTTTTGACGGGTCAAAGGCAAACCAAAAGCAAACCAACTGCTTTCGGGGGGCCGGTTCCTATTTTGAGACAATTCCGACCCGCGTTTCTCTTGAGGCCGCCCCTTTCCATCTTCTCAAACCGAAACCAAGTAAACAATAGTAAACAAGTAGAACTGCTACCGCCGAGTTCTGAGGTCCAATCCGGCAGGCGATTCTTTTTCCGGGGCCCCAGGCCACCAGCAGCTCCTGGCAGGCCCGGCCGTCCAGGGAGCCGCGGAACTGGAAGACCTCCATCGAGAGAACCGATTGACCCCCACTTGGGGCCACCAAAAGAGAAAAGGGACCTCAAAAGGGAAAAAAAAGGGAGGAAACCGAAAGGCACTGGTAAAGGCCCCTCTTGGGAGACACGCAAAGCGGTTTTCCCGCAGAAGGACTTGAGCAAGCAACGGCATTAACACTCGTCGGAAAGGAAAGCATCCCGCGCCAAGACGCTGTGACAGGCAGGGAGAGACTCCGCAGAACCAACAGGTTAGTGCTCTGCGGCTCAGGCATCTCTCAAAGCCGAGGAGACGCAGGCAGCAGGTGCCTGCAAGTGCGGATGGGAGCACAGACAACCTTACATGCCTAGGCACCCAGAAAAGCCTTGGAGATCGAAACTCTGAAGGGTTTCGAAGACAAAGGCCTGCAAGCATAACACTAACCAACGCGGGCTCAGAGGATAAATGAAACTGCGTCCATTCTCGTTTCAGCCTGGAACTACCCCAGAAAACATACTGCTAGCCCACTTGGAAGACTGTGTCGAAGACGGTGCCTCTGAAAAGAAATGACACCAGCTAACACCAGAAGCGCATGCAAGTTTCGTGCAAACTCGAAGCCACAAAGTTTAGAACCAACAAGCATGTCATGCCTCCAGATGCGGCCTGAGCACTGACCCGGCCAACAGCCCCCCAGCTCGGGGCTCTCCCGGCCTGACTGGACTCTGCCAGAGCCCGCACCGAGTGATGCAGCGACCCCCTGGCTCCAGCGCTCATCTCACTGCTTCTGTCATTGGTGACTTCAACACCACGAAGAGCCCAGAACTCTGTATTTTGTCTTTTCTTTGCCACGATTCCTGCTCCATAGGGTGCATGTACTTTACTATCTACTAGTTCAACGAGCAAAAAGGTCTCTATCATGAAATGTCCAGAAAATGCACTCGCTGTCTACTAACCTGGCTTCTAGTAGATTCACGAGCTCAGTGCGATCAGTGTCCAAAGGATCGAATTTCGGGGGTGGTGTGTGCATATTTGTGAAAACTCAAATCAAGAAGCTGCATGTGGTCCTCCCGTTCTTGTCTACGCTGGCCTCAGGTGCGTCAGGTTGTTCGCGGCCTTGGAGAAGAACAGCCCAACATCCTCCGGCCTGGGCTGCCGGAAAATGTGATGGCAGCAAGACGGCAAGCCGCTATGAATGAGTGGCCACCAGCGTTGGCCATGTTTTCCCTAAACTTGTTCGTGTCAAAAGAGCCGAGTGGGCCCTCACTGGGAGAAGAAAAAGAAAAGGACACCGCACGAGGCTGGCCTGTCCAACGCCAGGAGGGCCTCCACCACGGCGGAAAACGCCTCGATTACCCCTCGCTTTTCCCCACGCCACAAGTATCCACGTGGGAGGGTCGCAACCAGGACCCTTTTTGAAAAACCCACAACAGATCTCAACGGGAGCTGAACTCCTGACTTTCATGTGAAGCTGAAACACGAGTGACTGCCAAATCTGAAGCCGAAACAGGGCAGCCCCTGGAGCCTCCCTTGTACTGTTCTTCCTTTGGATGCCAAAGGACCAAAAACCGTGGCATCGAATCAAGAACTCCTCCCCACCCCCACCCTGCAGTGCTGGACCAACCTATTTTGAAGAACAAACAAACATTATAGGTGCTAAAAATACTCGCCTGTCGATGACAAAGCGGCAAAAGGTTAGCTTCGAGGGGTAGTGTGGGTTTGCGGTTGAGGGTGCGGTTAGGGGGGATTCACAAGGTGAAGTGTGGGTTGGTTTCTTGCATATTCAAGCTTATTGTAGGGTCGTCCGAGAGGCTGCTTGGTGTATGATGAATTTAGGGCTGGCTTAGGCTGAGTATTGGGTTGGTTCAGAGTGACGTTGTTAGGGTTGGATGAAGTTGTGTCACAGCGTGTCAGGATTGGCTTCGGGTCGAATTAAGGGTGGATGTGTTATCCAGGCACTGCTAGAGATGCAGAGGATGTTGCAATGATACTGGTGATGACGCGAACGATCACTATCATCTTCCTCATAGTCGCCTTGTCGGAGATGCAGCGGATGCTACAATGATACTTTTCATCATCTTCCTCAGAGTCATTATCCTCATCATCACCGCTATGGTCATCATCATCATCCTTTCTGTACTTCTTATAGAAATCAAAGGCAATGCAACGGATGCTACGATGATAGTTGTCCAGGCACTGCTAGAGATGCGGAGGATGTTGATGATACTTGTGATGACGCGAATGATCACTATACAATCATCTTCCTCATGCTCATCATCATCATCGTCATCATCGTCACTGTTGTCATCATTGTCATCGTCATCATGATCCACTGTTGGAGATGCAGGGAATGCTACCTGAGCATGAGGATGATGATGATAGCGGTGATGATGAGGATGATGACTATGAGGAAGCTGATGGTCGTGGTGGCCGTGGGGTGGTGGGGGGTATCATTGTAGCATCCGCTGCATCTCCAACAAGGACGATGTTTTTGGTGGCTTTGGGCAAGTTCAGGATTGTGTTTGAGGTTATGTTATGCTGGATTGGTTTAGGGCAACGGAGATCAGAGGACCCAAGAAGGCCCTCCGCACCTCAGCAGTAAACTCCTCCAAGATAGGCCAGGCCTCCAAGACCTGGCCGGAACGAGATGCTAAATTTGGCAGCGCCTTTCCTGAACAAGCAAATCCAACTCGTGTGCTGTGAACCTGTGCAGTGGCTCGCCTTGCTGCACGCCACTGCACGCCAAGACTCTGAGGTCCATGGCATGATTGCCGGACCAAAGCCTTGTGCAGCCTATTCAAGGCTTTTGGGGTGGACTGCCCCATCTCGGGCTGCTTGCCCCGGCTCCCGCCTCCTCATACCGCTTCGTCCGCAGCAGGGCCAAAAGCTCTTGCAGTCCGACCTGGTGCCTCCGGCGTCCGGCGCATGCGTGATGTTGAAATGCGGATTGGTCTTTTGGTCTTTGCCAAGTGGAAGGTGCAGGCTCAGTGGACTGAGTGAAGGCCCTTCATCTCGAGAACCAATAAACACCACAGGGGAGCTGTTTTGACAGCTACAGAAGCCACTGGCAAAAAGCTGCTCGACCCGGAACCAAAGTGCAACTCGGCTGCCTCGGGCAAGAGCCAAACCATAAATTACGCATTTATCCTTGTCAAGTTGGCCGACCTTCGCAGCAGCCTGACGTTGAGCTTTCCACGAGATCATCTATATCCATGACTCATACGTTGCCACAAAATCAATAATCCCGGACCAACCAGCGCACAATCAACTCACAGCTGCCTGCATGTGGCCACCCGTTGTGAGCGTCCGTGGATAGCACAACAAAGCAAACTCAATCCAATTCACCTGCACCAACGTGTTCCTCCAAGCACAGGAACAACCCAACGTGACCTCGGCCTGGCCCATTCTCGAAGCAAAATTGAGGCGCCACACTGCCACAACTGGGCCTCCCAGCACAGGCTCCGGCATGACCCAGCGCTTCCGACCCACCAACTGCTTCATAGCCTCGGCTCCGAGCGACGCCTCTGCTTGGGCGAAAAGAGACTATCACCGGGGCAGTTGCGCTCGTCCCAACATACCCAACATAAACGGGCATGAAGCTTCGAAAGTTCTTGGCGAGGAAATCAAACGGGAGGGCAAAACCCTATTGGGGGGCAGTGAGATGTAAGACGCTGACACCTCAAGCATCGATCCATCTTCGGCCAAACTGAAGTGCGTTGATACTTGGTCGTCCTAGAAGCTACCCCGCCTTCCCTGGGAAGCCACATCTATCTTTCTCTCATCCACTATCTCCGCGTATTCCCCCGACTTCGTGGATCCATCCAGCCTGGGGCACCCCGCAGTCGTGCGACAGAGTGCGAAGCCAAGGCAGAAGAAGCAAAGGAGGCAAAACTCCTGCGCCTGCAAGTCTCACAACTGCAATTGCCAGTGGAACACCCACTGGCTCTCTCACGTCTAATGTGGAACAAATACTGGCCACCCTGCGGCACTGCGGTAGAAGTTATCCAAATTTGCTGCGAAGTATCAAATGCTGGGGCTCCGCGCCAAAGGCGCAGCAGCCGCCATGGAAATGAAAGACTGGATGGTGTCAAGCGCCTAGGGAAGCTAGCCAGCAATGCCAGTTGCATTCAAGGGCCTCAACGATTGATTGCCCTCAGAACCCCGGCTTAGTTGGACGCAGTGAACGCCGCTCCAAGTGTGCAAGTGCCGACCAGGCCACACCCGTCACTACATGATGGCAAGCGACCTTTTGCGGGATCAAGGGATCCGGCCATCCCAGCACGAGCAATCAGTAGAACCTTGGACAGGGCCAGCTGAATACAAACTCAAGCCACCTCGGCATGTTTTGTACATTGGGTGACAAGCCCGGCCGGCATCCCAATCAATTGGAATGTGCTGCATCAGTATAGCCTAGCTGCTTAGCTAGTTCAAGCAATTGCCGCAAGTCTGAGTCACCGACGTTTGGACACGTGTCAAAGCACGTTGTGCGGATTCACCTCAAAATGCAGAGGAAATTGCATGCCCAAACAACTGTGCTGCTTCCTGCTGAATGATGCTGAATCCTGCTAAATCCTGCTAAATCCTGCTGAGTCTTGCTAAATGGATCCCAAAATCCTCGGTGCTCAGGCGACCAACGAAACCATGAGAATACAAAAGGATGAATTACCGCAAAACATTGCAGCTTGTGGCGGGGCGTCAAACTTGGGACACACAAGGTACAGGTCACGGGTTACTTTTCAAGCAAGGCTGCAAGAACACAAAGGTTTCTTTGTGATCTGTCTCCAACCCTAGGCTGGTCCACTTGGGGCCGCCGGCGATATCGGATGTCGTTTGGCAACAGGTACCTGGATCAAGTGCTCTGGACTGTCAGCGTCATGCCAAGCATTTCAAGTGGACACAAAGGAAAACCGAAACGAATCGTAAGGAAACAAATGCGTATGTTGTTTCTTGTTTTATTTTATTTCTAGAATCCCGTCGAAGCAACGCTCGGCTCCGCGCGGCTTCTGGTCGCGCAGGACTGGAGGGACCTCGACGCATTGGGCAAAACTCATGCATTGTTTGAGGGTGCCTGCCTTTTGCGGTTGGGACAAAGTGTGCATGGCCACATCCCCAACTGTAGATCTGCACACTGAGCGGCTGACCCAGCCCCCACGCGGTGACCCTGAAATAAGCTTGACTTGCAAACAGCGGACGCCGAATAGGCTCGCAGCTGCACATGCTGAATCGTGTTGCACGGGCGGAGGCTTAAATAAGGTGACACACCCTGTGATGCGCTCACGATATTCAAACATTTTCAATTAAAGAGGGTGGAACAAGTCTCGGGAATCGATGTTTTGTCGGCTGAACAACTACATGAAACAGCACTTCCATCCTGCTTCGCCAATGCATGTGGTGGGGGTGCTACCGCCGTCGACATGCTTGCCTCCCGACATGTGATGCCACATGCCAAACACAATGGCAAGGCCAGCACAACATATTGACAAATTCGCTGCTTTATGTGGCCCGCGCTCGCAACGTTGCTTGAAACAGGGCGTTTCGACTCCTGCACCTGTCCCCCTACACAATAAATCAGTTTATTGCATGTTGCTGTTGCTGTTGCTGCTGCTGCTGTTGCTGTTGCCGATGCTGTTGCTAATGCTGTTGCTGTTGCTGTTGCTGCTGCTGCTGCTGTTGTTGCTGTTGCTGTTGCTGTTGCTGTTGCTGTTGCTGTTGCTGTTGCTGTTGCTGTTGTTGTTGCCGATGCTGTTGCTGTTGCTGCTGCTGTTGCTGTTGCCAATGCTGTTGCTGTTGCTGCTGCTGTTGCTGTTGCCAATGCTGTTGCTGTTGCTGCTGCTGTTGTTGTGGTTGCTGTTGCTGTTGCTGTTGCTGTTGCTGCTACTGTTGTTGTTGCTGTTGCTGTTGCTGTTGTTGTTACTGTTGCTCTTGCTGCTGCTGCTGCTGCTGCTGCTGTTGCTGCTGTTGTGCTTGTTGTGGTGGTTGTTGTTGTTGTTGTTGTTGTTCATGCTGTTGCTGCTGCTGCTGCTGTTGTTGCTGTTGCCGTCGCCGTTGCTATTTTTGCTGTTTCATTAAAAGCAAGATGGGTACCAGATTTACGAGGATTAAACCTGATCTGAAATTATAGCAAATTGTCGTAAATTATCTCATTTTTGTTTGCATCTCAAGTGCAAAAAAATACAACGAGGTACAAGCTAAAAACAAGATGAAATATGATAATTAAAAAAGATAAACAACAAGAAAAAAGACGACAGGTGGCCCGGAAGCACTTAAACACGTTAAATCAACTCTGACACCTCCCCCACCTCATGAGAAACAATGCGTAAACACGTGCTAAAGTGCTTGTGTAAAGGGGCGCCTGGTTTTAGGTCTCAGGCACGGCCACCTTCTCAAAACTGACGGGGCCGGTTTGAGAGTCGCACACGTGCTGCGCGTTCATAGCAGCGCGCTCCCATCTCCCCAAAATATTCACCACGACGAGGAAACTATGCCATGTTGGCTAGTTGGGCAAGTGTACTGCCACATCAGAAATGGACATCGGAGATCAAACAACATGAGAGGTTCCCAACTGCAAGGTTTCCAGTTCTTTATGGGCAGGCTGATTTGGGCTTGGTACCACGAGCGATCAAAAACACAGTCCAATAGAGCTGCAACTTTGGCAAGGAGGCTGCTGTGCTTACTTGGCGTGTTTGTTTTGCTCTTGTCTGCCACGGCTCCGGCGCCAATGCGCTCGCTTCTGCAAAGACTGCAAGCAGTGCTTGCAGGGCTCGGAGCCTCTGCACACTCTGCTGCAAGTGTGGCATAGATGCCATAGCGCAGCATGGTAATGAATTCTGAAATGGTCGGCTGTGGGCAGGAAGACTGTCATCCTTTAGATACAAGCCATTTTTCGTTCCTTGGCAGGCCGAGCCCGCGCTGAATCGGTTTTGGTTGCAGCAACTCTTTCCTTTTGCAACTATAACAGCCGCAGCAAACGTCCTATTTACTCGCCTACTAGTTGCCAACAGGGCGCCTTCGCAGTCGGCCGGACGGATCTCAGGATTTGAAAGCCAAAGGGAAACTAACCTTCAACAACAGTCCAAAGGTCAACAATCAATAACTAGTAAAAAAAAACACATGGCCCGATTACAGGCAATACTTCTAACTTCAGCTTCCATCTATATAGTGATTTGGCTGCGGTGTCCCGTTTAGAAGACCCAGGGGTCTGAACCGCAAATCCCAAACACAAGTCAAAGCATCTTACCGCCCTACCAGTCAGGATTGACTATCAACACCGCACCAAAAACAAATGGTGGTTTGCAAATAGGCCTGCGCAAGTTGCCCCAGCCCCCCCCCCCCCGCTGGTAGGGTAATTTGCGCCCAATGTGACGCGCGTCCTTGCGAAAGGAATGAAAAGAAAGGAAAGAACTGGACGGACACAGAAAAGAAATGGAAGGAACTGGAAAGGACATTTATAATGATGAAGAAAATGAGGATGATGAGCATGATAATGACCGTGATGATGAAAATGATGATGATGAGAACAATGATGAAAAAATGATGATGAAACTGATTGCCAATAGTCAGAGCTTAGGCCATGCATCTGAGGCCTTTTGGAAAACATATTTTCTTAATTATCCTAATTATGCTAAACATCCTAAATATCCCATTCAATTAGGATAATTAGGGTAATTACGTGCCCGAATTGGCAAATTCTCTAATTAATTGGGATAATAAAGTTAATTGGTATCCTAATTGATTCGGATAACTAGGATAATGAACAAAGGATGTCCAAAGGACCTCGGTCGAATTCATACCTGGTTGATGAGAATGATGATGAACATGATGATGAGAATGAGGATGAAGTCATGATGCAAATCAATGATCAATGATGAGGAGAATGATGATGAAAATGACGATAATGAAAAAAGATGAT